ACCCGCTACCATAAAACACCAATATATGCAACCATAAATAAATCCAAAATTTAAAAATTAATCAGTTTGTCTGATGATCGCAAATAGCGTGAAACCCAGGGTCACAAACTCACATCAATCCAGCTAATATGTTAGCTCTCACTGATATTGAGCACTTTCCAATAAGTACCGTACATATATATGTATAAATTATATATATATATATATATATATATATATATAGAATGACTAATGCTCCTTTGTGTTTTGAGGTTTATAAAAAAAAATATCTATTTATTAATTCATCATTGACATCCTATTTACTATTCAGGAAATTTAAAAGACCTGCAAAAGCAAGGCAGAGTGTAAGGAGGTAAAACGTCCATATTCAGAACCAGGATGTTTCACTGTGTCTATTCTGCAGCATGTTATGTTGCATTGCCATGTAAGAGTAAGACATCTTCCCAATTGCTCAATGATGCTCCCTTTTTTAAGAAATACTAGTGTAATTCTGCTCAAATGAAACTGAATATACCATTGGGGATTTCTCTTGACAGTTGAGAATTTATTTCCATTGACATTATAAATACTCATTAGTGAAGTTGATAAATCCTGTTTCTATTTATAAAGTATAAAGGATCTCATCTGTATTAACTTTTTTATGGGTCATATCCTCCTCAAAATAATTATGCTTTAAATACTAAGATACAAGATCATCAAACAACTAATTTAATGCTATTAGAACTTTTTTCCAACCTAACAGCTTAAATTAAAACTTATTCCATCTAAGATAATAGAATTTACTTTTGTGTTTCACTTAGTTATCTTCTTTACTCTATTACAAAATATCAATACTATTTCATTAGATATTATTTTTGTCCTTGGAAAGATTAAGCAGATGTTAATAATATCCATTTCTAAACAGGCATGAGCTTAGAATATAACTGGTTCATCATTCCTACTACATATAATCTTTGTTCTTCAGCATCTTATATAGTTCACTGGTACTTGATATTTTCTCAAAAACAAAAAAAAATCACTATTCATGATTTTTATTAATTCAATCACTTTGGCTGAGTAAGCAGTAAGTAATTGATTATGTGGAAATTTTCCTAAAGCTAAACACAAAATGGTCCATTGACACAGTTACAAAGTAAACACTTTGATTTTAGAATGACTTTAATTTTCTATGGGACTCAATTCAATATTTGATAATTATTTTACATCACAAAAACAAATTCTTTAGATTTTTTTTTTGTTTCTTTTGACTCTGATATGTCATCAAAAGGTTAGTCGTTTTCACTGCATGATTTTTATTCAAAAGAAAATAATGAATTTGGTACTTCATAATGTCAAAGCAAATGCACCAGTCAGCTTTAGTTTTAGATTTAAAAATGTTTTCATAAGTTCTTAATTTTTAAAATATTTCTGTTACATAAAAAGTTGCATTTTGTATTTTGGAAAAAAAACTATTTATCAAAGTACTCTATGATGGGCTGGTAATTGATTATAAAAAATCCACAATTCTGATTTCCTCAGACATGTTGATACTGGAAAGGTTTTAGGGAAAAGTTTTCATCTACTAAGAAATAATCGCCAATCAAGTGGGCTTATTATGAATTGCTAAATATTTGAATTTTCTATACCTCTTTCTACTTGTCTTCAATTTTTATGTGGTTTTGCATGGATTTTTAATTTGTTAATAATTTATATTTGATACTTGTTGATTTTTTTTCAAACTTGGATCTGCCATTCCTACTCCATCTTGACTGGCCACCAAAATTCATTAGTTTGATTTTCATTTTGATATTAGTATCTGTCTATATTTCTGAGATGAGGTATTATGTACACTATTTACATTATTCAAACTATTGTCCTCATTTTTGTCGCCATATTTATTACGTTTCGGCCATTGTACACTCCAGCCTTCTTCAGGTGGTTGGAATGTCGAACTGAACCCTTTGTTTCGCTTATTGGGGTAGACTGTTCTAGTTCCATGTGCCATGTCTAATGGATGTCAGTTATCAGTTATCTCCTGTTAATTCCCCTCTCCAAGTTCTCCACTGCCTTAACCAGGTATTGAACTCACACACTTTGGGTAACTGACATCCATTAGACATGGCACATGGAACTAGAACAGTCCACCCCAATAAGCGAAATAAAGGGTTCAGTTCAACATTCCAACCACCTGAAGGCCGGAGCGTACAACAGTCAAAACGTAATAAATTTTGATATTGTAAATATGATTTTATTGTGATGCAAGTTGTTATCCAAATAGATTATGGCTGAAGTTGCATTTAGTACATTTTTAGGCAGAATTCAAATCACAGAATTTTTTTTTTAACTTGTTTTTATCAATACTTTTGGGTTATATTGACTTACACACACACACACACTGTAAAATACTCAATTTTTTCTGTTCATTCATGCAAATATTTCTCTAAAAAGAAATAAATATTTTAGGAACAAAGACCATATTTTTTTTTATTTCTATGAATCATGTTTTAGTTTTCTCTGAAAGATGAGTAGGATTTTCAAATATTTTTTTCTTATTAGAATCAAATTTGAAAGACAAGGTTTTATCTAATGAATTTTAAATTTACATTGAAAGCAAAGCAACTATTTTTATTCAAATTTTCCTCCACTCAATCTGAATTCACCAAAGCTTTCATAAATATTGAGATGGTTTTGTTTTATTCATTTAACATTTTTAATTGATAGCTTTAATCTCCTTTTATAGAAGTTCTACTTAAGAACACTCATTAAAATCATTTAATCCTACTTAATTTAATGGTACTCCTTTTTCCCTTGATATTTTCCTTGTCTAAATAAGTTAATGTTTTTCCTGATTTGTCTACAAATCCTTTTTTTTTTTTTTTTGGCTTATGTTTTGCCCTTCATTATTACTACAGCAACCAACTATGTCTCTGAGAACATAATAACAGAGGTATGGCTCCCAACTTTTTCTTCCTAATGGATGATCATGTTATCGTTTTTTGGTTTTCTTTTTTTGTTTTTCTTTTTAATCTTTTTTTCTTGTTTTTTTTATATATTTTTTTTTTATTTTAGCTTTAAATCTTTTGTTTGGCTTTATTTGTCTCCCACTAACAGAGGTCACTGTTGTGTTGCAGTTCATTTGACATGATTCAGATATATTGAGCTAAATGTATAGCTGTGTTTCTTTTGTCTTTGGTTTTAGACAACAGCAGCATAGCTTGTTGGCACATTCTTCAGTGGCATGTATACACTCAAAATAAAACTTTTGGTACTTGTAAAATCCAGTTGGAAAATGCTTTTTGCATCTTCAGTATTATTTTGATCAAATTGCTCGCTTTTTTTTCCTTGCACACCAACTTGAGTTCTTCAACATCAAGCTGCTCCACTCAACCCACTTTGCCTTTTATTTTCTCAAGTATTTTGTTCTAAAAAATATAAGCAGGGACACTGGTTATTTGGGACAATTTCTCCTTTCTCATGCTTCTTGCTCAATGTTCCAACTGATGCCTAGAACAATTATCTGGCATATAAGAAACACTGGAACATTATAGGTATTTCTATCCTGTGATGAGAATATGATAAAAGGGGAAAATTCTTGGAATAATCTACACTTTGGGATGACAAGACAGTTTGGGGCAATTCTAATAGTATTCTGATCTTTGCATTAACACTAAAACAATACTTGGTGCAATTTATGTCTGTAGCTCTAATCACCATAATATTTGTAGAAATTAAACATTCAAGTTAGTAAATAACTAAATTTTTGGGGGTTTGTCTATTAGATTAAATAGTGAAATGGATATATATTTTATGAAAATATTTTATCTCTAATTGGGAACAATTTTTAGCTTGATTCTTGTTTGCAACTGATTACATACAAAGCGGTTATTAGTAATTTTAACTTCCAGTAGTTAAATGTTATTGTTGTGGAAGCAGCATTAAATACATTGGCAATGTCCATGTATTTTTGTCTCTGATATTTATGAGACTAGTAATGGCTTTCAGCCTATAAGATCTTACTGTTGTATATTAAATAAATTTTCTCTGACTCTTATCTTTTACCATTTCCCACTTGTCTATTTGTTAATTATTTTGCTATTTGCTTCTATTCCATTAACTAAGCATTTCTTGTCCATAGACTTCATGAACATTTTTTTCTCTGTCTCTGCTTGTTATTGATTTTCAATTAGTTGTCATATTTTTGTTTAGGATTTTTATTTTCTTTGACTTGTGTGTACTTTATTTTTTATTTTAATTAAACAATTTTGAGGAGTGCCAAAAAAATCATGATGGCCTCATAACATTATTTAATCTGATCTATTGTCAGAAGATAAATGGACCCTTTTTCTCCCTCTCTCTTCTAATAAAAGCTCTTTATCTGACATGTAACTGATTCCTTGAAATGTTATGAGAATAACATACATTATGAGAGTTTAATCTCTTGAGTGAACCTTAAATGACATCTTTTCTAATATGATTGTGCTGAATTCATTGTAACCAGAATATAATTAACTTTTATTAATTGTGATTTATGAATCAATTTTAAGTTAAACTATTTTAAACGTAAAAGCTCTAAATTCATGTGTTTCATCTTTTGTTTAATCTTACATTTTATTATTGGAAGGATCTAACATCAAAACAAACACATATATAGCTGAATATCTAATATAAATGGAAATCATCTATTTTCTGTACTTTTTCATTATAAGCTTTGCTTCTGATGGGTTTAAACCCTGTATAGAAATTAAGTTTGTGGGAGTGAATTGCTTACAATTGCTACCAGATCTGCAAACTTAATTACTGATAACAAATTAGTCATAATTGTTCTTGACCATTTCCTTAGAGAATTTGCAAATGATTTTTGCCATGAATTTTGTGGACAGTTTCATATTTGCTTTCTACAAGATCAAAATCTGAAAATTAAATTTTTACAGGATGATTCCACCATTTACTGAATTTTCTGTTTTACATGAATCTATTTTTACAATTCTTTGAAATTTTGCTTTTATTCTCTTTCTTTTCAGTCCCCAAAGACATGTACGGTTTGTCAGTCCCGAAAAATCGAAACGCATTAGGAAAAGTTCTTCGTGGTCTTCCTTCGATGGTCTTGAACCCAACGATGGGAATTCCACGAACCATTCCTCGGACTATTCGAGTAATTCTGAAAAAGAAACAAACCTCTACGCAACAGTAAGAAAATCAGGCCGAAAACATCACTATTATCTTTAATTGCCAATCTCATTCAATGCTCCTTGGACTTGGAAGAGACAGGGCATTGGTGGGGATTCACCCTGCCACCCACGAAAATGTTTTTTTTTTCTTTCTTTTTTTTTTTTTCAACAAACTTACATACCAGTATCTACAGATTATAAAGAATTTAAATATTTTTCCAGTCACAATTTGAACAAATTTCAGTTTTATAATAATATAATGTTTTCAATTTTTTATAAATTTCCAGTTTTTCTTTAAAAGCTGTCATTCCTTTTGTCATATATACTCTCACTTAAACACATACATAAACACAGTGGTTATTACAGAATAGTGAAAGTCTATTTATTATTAATACTGAACTTAAAAACAAGTTTCAAATTCATAGTCTTCTGCATCAAACATTTTATTCCATTCATCCCTTATTTCCTTAAATTTCTTAAATAAAAAGCTGAAATCTTGCATCAGAAGGAATATTCAAATTGCCATTTGACTAATTAATAAAAGACTAATCCTTCCAAATAAGACTTATTTTCAGATTATTATTGTTTCTGTTGGAGTGCTCTGTTGGTGCACAATGTGTTTTCCTCTGCTAAATTAGATTTGAATATTAGCTAAAGGTAAATCCTTATAACATGAAGTCAGATTTCTAAGCGAACCCATTATGATTGAAAGCTGTCGACTCTATATTTTTGTTCTTTTAGGATGAATATTGGATACATATGCTCCATGTATCCTCAGCAGGTGCAGATTGCAACTTGCATGTATAACTGACAAGGCTTTGGTTAGTTGATATGATTTCTTTTTTTCTAAAAGTCAGAAAAGAGCAATGATCATGATACAGCTTAGCTTCCTCAGTTTCATGAGATAGAAACAAATTTTTAAGCAAGTAAATAAAGTGTAGAAGAGAATTGAAGTTTATTACTTTAAAATTGCTCACTCCCAATTTGGTGATCAACTTGATTTTCAAGTACAACAGATTAATGTCAGTTATTTTTTTTAATTACATTTCATTTATTGGGCATTTGGATTAAACAAAATAAAATGAATTCCTTTAAAATTTTGTTGGACTAACATTCTCATCTTTCAGGTGATTCCAAAGTTGAGTCCCAAATATTATAATTAGCAAAATCCTCAACTTTTTCTAAAATATGTGAAGCTTAATGTTATTTTTTGTTTTGGTTACTTTTAAATAAATGTGGATTAATTTTAATTTGTTAAAGATATTGTCTCATGATTGCTAAAATAAAAGATTGTATTGATTTTATCTTTGCTATAGAGGCATGATTAAACTTTGCACACCTGCTTAATTCTAATGTAAGCTAAAACTTTGTCAAATTTCTAAAAGATTTGTGAGGGAATATTGTCAATTTTCAAGTATCTGAAGTATTTAATTTCTAACAAAAACCCAAGGAACTTTGCCAGTAGATATTTGTTGAACTAAACTAGATTTGGCACCCAGCTACATTCATAGGACATCCAGAGAGAAACTTCCATGAACATCATGCACTCTAATGTGTGTCTGATAATGTTTGCAACATAAGAAATCTTCCTATGCAGTTGGAACTTTACAGGAGGATTTCTTGTGTTGTGAACATTGTTTTAAAAGCCATCAATTGTGGTTGGTTCACTTAACTCTGACATTTCTGAAACTCATTTGCTGCCATCATCTTTTGTTAAACATTGCCTGAACTCACCTTATTGGCATCATTTTTTGACAGTAACCTTCAGAAAACCCACTGGTCAAAAGTTGACCTAGTAGATATATTCAGTTGGTTAAATTTATTAACTACTTAATATATAAATAATTTTCATTGCTGTTAGAATAAAATTCAAAATAACACCAGTTTATAAAAATAAATTTGTGGCGAGAGGCTTGCTGCATATATAAATATTTTCTACACAAATATAATTTTAATGAAATTTAGTTATCTTAATGCATCTTTGCATTATTTAATGATAAAATCTTCAGGAGAAACACTAACACAGTGCAATAATTTACTTAAATCCTTACATGATGTCCAATTGGAAAAGACTTATTTTTCATCGATATGCTTATTTTACACAAAGAACACCAGTCATAAATTCAACACCAACTCTCTTAATCAGGTTCTTTCTTGTCTTTTGCATCCTATCTGTGTCAGTTTCTGTGTCAGTCGCAAACACATTTTTAATGGTGCATAACTTGATTAGGCTGGTGATTTTTGTAAATTTTGCTATAAATTACCTTCACCACATCCTTTAAAACATTTTAAAACTCATCATATAAACAATTATTTTTTATTTAAAATTTGACAAGAGGATTTTTTTCTATTTCAGAATTTAAAAAGTAATAAAATATTTCTCGAAGTAATTGTTTTACTCACCCTATTTCTAATGTTTTTCCTCCCCCACCCCTCTACACACCCACACACACTCAAACAAAAAAATTCCTTTTTTCCAGCTGGATCAGGATTGTTTCCAATATCTGTTTCCATGTTACAAATTGTAAATGTGGAAAGAAAATTTCCCCTTACCATTTTATTATCTCTCCTGTGGAATCAGAATGGTGAAATGTCTCAGTATATTCCTCAGGGTCCTTGTTACAAGTTTGTTCTACTCAACCAAATTCTTGTTTGAATGAAGATCATGACTTTGAATTGCTCTTTGAACCCATTTTTGAAAGTCCAAACAGATTTGTAGATATTTATTGGTCTCTGTTTCACTTGATTCTTTTACTTGGTTGCTTGAGTTACCTTTTAAGGATTTTGACGAGAGGTATTTGCTACACTAAAAACAAGGAAGTTGAGGTGGGGCAGGGGGAATATTGTGTGCTTCAACTGTTATTTTTCCAGTGAACAGCAATATGTCATCACTGTTGGCTGGGAGAAGGGTCACTGGATGATCCGGCCTGGGAGAACTGCTTTGACATTGTAGAACAAAGGTAGATCAACATTACAATAAATAAATGTTCGTCTGATGTCATTTTATATTTAATCTTGTGTTGTTTTATAAATAACCATTAACACAAACATTGTCAGCTTTTCACTTCTGTCAATTTCTGGAATTTCTTCTAGTTGGAAACATGAAATGGATTCTTTTTCTCTCTCTCTCTCCAGATTTAATGATAATGATTGTCAAAAGTCTGTATATTTGCTAGTAAAAGACATGGAAGCCATAAACACCATTGACTAAATATATAATATACTTGCTTTATCTCTCTCTCTCTCGTATATCCATATTATAAGACCAATCTAAAAAAATGCAATTAAACAATGAACATTAATTACAAGGTGTTTATATTGCAAGTCTTTTTGGTTATAGCAGAACAGGTTAATGAGTAAGGAAAACAAAAAATGGTCTCTTTGGTATTATGAAACTGATAAATTTGAGGGGCATGATTTTAAATTCTTTAAGTTAGCACTTCTTTAAAAAATACACAAAAAATACACTGCAAAAGTATTTCTTAATACTAATTTTAATTTAACTTAATACTAATATTAATTCTTAATAATTTCTTTTGTAGCAAGGTGTATTTTTTTTTTTTTAAATCTAACTACTAACCAATAAAATTAGTACTATGAATTTGAAATCAAATTCCTCTTTCAACTTTTAATTTTTTTTTTTTTTGTTTACAATCTGATTTTCTTAATGGCCCAGCCCGCACAATTAACAGCAGTAAAATAAATTGAAAGATTTTATTGTTGCTGATTATTATTTTGTTTGCAAGTCAATACAGACAGGTAAAGGAAATAGTTTTTCCTTTTCCAAAGATGTTTATAGTTTTTCTCTACTTTATTTTCTCTTCATTGAATAACTTTTAAATGAGAAACACATTGACAAAATAATTGAGAACATACAGGAAGGATTATTTGGAAATGTTTATTTCTCTTTGCCTGTTGTAAACAAGTTTTAATTTGAAGTTTTTTTTTCATAAATATAGCTACAACTAGTGGCCAACAAATATTACAAAGTGATGGTAAGAACATTTTTGCTAGATACAGATATACATTCTTTTCTTCTAGTGAAATGAGAGGCCTGCTTTGTGGCTAAGGTATATAGATATATTTATCAATGGCGCCTGTATTCAAGCCCAGTTTAGAAAATAAAATTTTGAAAGATGCTAGTTTTAAGGGCCCTCCCAATTTGAAATATTAATGTAATACAATCTTCTTTCTTCTACATTTGGTCTTGTTTGAGTTTAATAAGTATCTATAAAGGAATATTTTAATAAAATAACATTGGTGAAAATAGCCAAAGGAAAAATGAAACTGATAATATTTATGCTTTTCTTTTGCATAAACAGCATTTTGTTTTTAAGTACCTTGTCCCATTTTGGTAAGTTCTGTCAGAAGTGGGAATGTGCATTATAATTTTTATGCCCCAGTTAGTTTTCTTCTGTTGCTTGGTCTTAAGTAGCTTCTCAGATTGCATGTTCTCTAAAATGGTTATTAAAAACAGGTGATTCTGTTGAATTTTCTTTATACAATTCCAAAAATAACGCCTTTTAGCTAGTATTAAATTACATTAATAGGGGTATCTCTCTCTCTCTCTCTCTGGTGCTGAAAACATCTCAGCTCAATCCATTTCCAAAAGCCTTACCCCACAAAAATAATTTTTTTTTTTGGTTTCAGGATTCACTAAAATAGAAAATAACATTGTAAATCCCATGATATTTATTGTTAAGAATCTTAATCTTCGCTCTTTGGTTTGGAGTTGTTTCTTAGTCTCTACCTGCAATTTAGGTTTAATGCTACCTTTAGATTCAGACTATTTCCAAAAGCTACAATCATTCTATGTATGTTTCAATGACTTTGTGTAATCTTACTACTTGTCTACAATTTTGAGATGCAGAAAAAAATGTCAAATGAAGTAAAATTATCATCATCATAGAGAGGGTGGGGTTCATAAATTCTCAGCCTAGCCTTAGATATTTGTCAATTTCTCTGGCAGAATTTCTGAGATGAGGAATATCTTTCTATATGAACCAGCATGTCCAACACTTGTTATACTCACTTTTTTTTTTTTTTAGGTAGGTATACTTATTCACTCTCTGCAAATAAAATATTTTATATTTCTTCTTCCTTCTCTCTAACAGTTGTTTTTCTTCTTCCCTCCCTCTCTCTCTCTTAGTGTTGTTGTTTTTCTTTAGCTTTGCTTGACTGGTCATTTATAATTGTTGATTGTATTTAATTTTTTTTTTCTGCAGTTTCAATGAAAAACATATGCATCTTGTTTTTTATATAATTTTATGATGTACTCTTGTATACAATTAAACAAAAAAAATTAATTTACTTTATCTCAGAGTATCTTTATTTTTCATTTATTCAAAAAATGTTTTTCCTTTTCCTCTTATCACTTTCTTTTTTTCTTCTATTCCTCTTTTTTTTTTCCTTCTATTCCTCCTTTTTTTTCTTCTCTTCCTCCTTTTTTTTTCCTTCCTCTTTTTTCTTTTTCTTCTCTTCCTCTTTTTTCTTTTTCTTCTCTTCCTCTTTTTTCTTTTTCTTCTCTTCCTCTTTTTTCTTTTTCTTCTCTTCCTCTTTTTCTTTTTCTTCTCTTCAGGACTGAACTGCAAAAGAATCTGACTTGTTTTTTGCTAAAATATTTTGATTGAGTTTTCTGTATTTCTCAGTAGATCCTATATTTGTCTTTTATAATATAGGAATGTCTAATCAGCAAATACAAAAAAAATGTCTGCAGTCTACAAAATCAGGAAATTCTTTTTGTCCTTCAAGGCAGATATTGATCAGTGATATCATCATTTCTGTTCACTTGATGATGGGAGAACTGAAACTTTCCAGTTTCAATCATTTCTATTAATATTTTCAGTTTTGCCATTATTAGAAACCATTCACTCACTCGCATTAATCAATAACAGCTTCTGGGACACAGAATATGATCAACTGATCAAAAATTTTCACTCACAGAATAAAGAAAGAACTGTTTAAGTCTAGGGTTGAAGCATTATTGAAATAAATGTCATTAAGTGGAAATTTGGGATTGTTAATATTCAGTTAGAACAAAAGTTCCTAGTACCAGGTGCTGTAAACATGGATGTGCGGGTGGTGTCATGGATAATGGTTCGGAATTGACTTCAAATTCCCATTGGATTCGTTATATTCACTTGCATGCAAATACGCTTAGGAAAGTTATGAAACCACCTTTCTCCCCAAGCTATGGGTTAATTAGTAAGATTTGTATCACTAAAACATTATCGTAAAAAAAACAAACAATCAAAAAATATATTTTGGGGGTTTAAATAAGTTGCAAAGGGTTGAAATACTGTAGAAAACGAATCAATCAAAAGTTTTTCCCCCTCCAATAAGTGACGTTTGAACACGGGATTTAATTTTACTTGGGGCCGAAATTTGGTGTATTTACACATGACTCGTGCGTGCACTGTAAATTTGAAATGTTTTTACGTTAAAATGGAAGAAAATGAGATGCATTTTTGTCATTTAATGCTCTTTAATTTCCGAAAAAAACAAAACAAACGCCGTACAAATAGATATGTGACTTTTACAGAGAGTACTTTGGTTCAAAAGTGGATATTTGAATTTGGAAAACCGAGAACATACCGATAGGTCTGCAATCGTTGATGATGACGATCAAATCTAAATGCTGGTTAAAAATAATCCAGATCACACGACGCTGGATATCACTGTGATACTCCACATATCCCATGCGTGTTGTAAGGCATTTGAAAACGCGTGGGGACGTGAATCGCTACGAAATGTGGGTCTCTACTGAAATGTGTTTCGCTACGAAAGATTTCTTGTTCCAACCTAATATGTCAATTCTGCGGAATCAAATTGCCAAATCAATTCTTTGAAAGATGGCTGTTCTTTTTCGCACAATAATAGTTTTTATTTTCTTTTAGCAATTGCTTGTTTTTTTTTCATTTATTTGATATTTTAATTATACGTCAAAACGCTAAATATTTTTCATAACTTTTGTGTGAGGTATAAGAATACACACAGACACCTCCCCACTTGAGTGTACATTGCCTCCATATTAGAGTTACTTGACAGTGCCCATCACCTCCCTGAATAACTTTTTTTTCTTGAAGGATTTGATCACCGGATCAACTGGCATTGATCATTGTCTGGCAAACGTCACTAGAAAGATTTGATTACTTCTGAACAGTCCATGAATTCTTTGATGTTCTGATCGATCATTTGGCAAGCGACCCAATTCGGACAATCAGTCGACAACAAAAAAGAATGAAAAATCGTTCTCGTTATTGCCGGATGTGGCGGTGAGTGTCACTCCTTGCAGTCTTTGCTGGTCTAGAGTACGTGATATTAGCTGGTGGCAATTTCATTTGAGATTGGTGGTCATAATAAATAAAGACAATAACCTAGTTCTAGCAGAAAATGACAGTTCTGCCGACGTTTAGAGTGTAGTATCTCTGTATTCAGTTTTAAAAAGAGCACAAGGAACTTTTGCACGCAACTCATATGCACAAGTATTAATTATGAAGGGTAAAAATCGTTGCGAAAACAAAAAGCCTTTCAGTCTGCTATACAGACAAATGATGCTGTACTTGACAAAAATCGACTAAGCTGATTCTGAATGTGTACGAATATTAATTGCCAAGAATATCAGGTCTTTTAGATATGCGCAAGGTAAAAATTTTATTCCTGTTAATTCCGCATGTAGTGTATCAATAAATAGTATTTACGTAACGATGAGAAATAACCATATATATATATATATATATATATATTATCATTTTATTTCTGATAACTTCAAAAATGTTATTGCGTTGAACTGTTGGAAGAGCCAGCATGTTTAAGTTGTAGCTGCCTTTATACCCCAATTCCATCTCAGTTATATCCCGACGGAAACTTTCATCAATGCTTATTGCATACGGCATCCAGATCCATTGAAAAAAATCGAGTTAATTACCGTACATGCATTATTTTCAGCTCTATGAAATCTAAGAGAATTCTGTCCAACCCATAGGAAAGAATTCCATTGTGTCGACTCCAGTGGATACTAATATACTATTCATGTAATATTTACCTCAAATATAAATACGAATGGTACAAAGTCCTGACATGCTTAGAATGATTGATTCGTTTTCTACGACTTGTCAACCTTTTGAAGCCAAAAAATGTTTTTAGATTGTAATTTTTTTTTTTTTTTTTTTTTTTTTAGATAATGATTTAGTGATACAAGTCTTAATAATTAACTTGTAGTTGATTCAAGTGTATTTTCGCGTGAGTGAGTATAACTATAAAAACTGGAATTGGAACTCTGCTCTCCGATTAATTCCGAGCTTTTATCCATTACACCCATCAGCACATCCAAGCTTACAGCACCTGGTATTCCCAAGTGGATACCCATCTAGATACTGGACAGTCTCGACGTTGCTTAATTTCGGTGATAGTACGAGTACTGGTATTTCAACGTTGTGTGGCTCATGAAAATATCGAATTTGATATTTCTTTGATAGCTAAGGTCGAAGTGTAAAGTAAAACTAACCACTGCTTCACAGTGACACACCACCACCACCATTTTTTTTAATCTTGCTCAATTACCAGTCGATTACCGACATGAGCAAGATTCTTGGGGGGGGGATCTTTATTACTTTGTGTCTAGAAATGTTGCCAGGGATACAATGAATTGTTTGGCTTCATGCCTATGAAGATGTCTTTTAAATTCTGGGAGATTTATATATACGTTGACAGATGGAACCGGTATGATTACCTGCCGAATCGGTGTTAAGGGAGGTAACAATTGCTGACTGGTCATCGGTAGCCTGGTGGATTTTCGTGTGATATTTGATCTTCATGCACATCATCAGTGGACAGACTGAGGCACAAGGGAAATACAGCAAAAGAAAAAAAAGCATATATATTTATATAATGTTAATATAGTTAATGATATTTATTTTACTTTCTGCTTTGGGTCACAACAAAAAGAGAAGCAAGATATTGTACAGTTACTCAATGATAGGAATACAACGTTTTTGTTTTGTTTTTTAAGTTGAAAAGAAAATAGTCAAAAAAGTAATTGAAAACCTGTTTTCTTTGACTTTTAAAAAAAAATTCATTTGATCTCAGCGAACAAATTCTGATCAACTTTATGTTGAGAATATTGATTTTGATAGTTTGTTATATTTTTATCAATTTTTCAAGAAATTCTTCTGTGTTTGAATAAGTTGCCCAGTGAGGCAATCTCTGTTTAAATAAAACAAAGGAGTACCATTGTTGTTTGGCGTAAATAAACAACTAACGTCCACTATTCCGTTTCAACCTAACTATTCAATGTAAATAAAGTTTTAAAAAATTATATCATCCTTAAAAATATGAAATATAGCAGCCTTGATGGAAGTTGGCAACTAATCAGAAGAAAACTTATTGCACATGCGTACAGACGCTCATTGGATTACTCAGTCGGCAGTAAGACGCCATTGAATGAGCTTGTGTGAGCTGGTTACATTTACGGCGAATATGCATGAAGTTTTTCTTGAAACTTGGACGTTCTTATGCGGAAACTACTTGAATGATTTCGGGGATGATTAAATGAACGATGCCCAGGTAGAATTGTTGTACCGATATTGGAAGCGATCCGCATTTTGGAAAGCCTTTAACAGGCAGAAGAAACGAAGATGTTGAACGTGTACAGGTTGCAATCAGAATAAATCGGCGACTGACAAGTGTGACTGATTGGAAAGTATCCAGCCATTTTGAATAACTTGATTGCCTATCTTTACTTTTCGTGCAGAGTTTGGTTAATAAAAACATCACATCAATAAGATTTTTTTTTCACCATACACCCACCATACAGTATAATCCATGCGAATTCTGGTTTACAGTGGACAAGATTAAAGAAAACGTATAACAAATATTTTATTGATTTCAAAACTATATTGCCGATATGAGATTTCCGGGTTCAGAAAACGTGACTCAAATCTATTGAAGGAATTTATCTGACGTTACGATTTTCTCGGCCTAGCAACAAGCAGTCGCATTGACTCTTATTATATTCGGTGGGAGGGGCTGAGATGTGGTTGTAGGAAGAAAGATAAGATGGAACGAAAGGATAAACTTTATTAGATTAAATACAGTTCGGATGGTATGTGGAGCCGCTGGATACGTAATGATAAAATGTGGGCCTCCGAGATCTGTGTAGCTCAACTTGGTGTCATCCTGTACTCAAAATGCCCTGTGTATTCAAACAGGGAAGGTAACAAAAACCCTTATTCTTCATCCCTCCGGTCTAAAGGGGATAACTTTTTTTAAAGATTTTCATTGGGACCAACTGTGCCCTAACAACCCTTCAACATTTCAATAGCATACCTACGTGACTCATCCTGGCGACCTGAGGTTTAATGACATCACAACTCTCTCGATCATTTAACACCCAGACCTGAAAATACTCGGATTATAGGTGAAATCATTTCCAGCCAATCATTTTCTTTAAATTTGTAGTCATGAGGACCCCGCAATTCGTATTTGAAGAGTTAAAATTCACTCACGAGATGGAGTCGAATATTACTTCCTTCACAATATATTGTCGCTCCCAGCCTAAATTCTTGGCCTCTACGGGAACAATTC